ACAGTGAGATAACCACTTCTTACCCAGTAGGATGGCTGTGCTGGAAAAAGACAGCCAATAAGTACGTATTGACAAGAATGTGGAGAAATTGGAAGCCTCATACATTGCTGGTGGGAATATAAAATGGTGTAGCTACTTTGGAAAACAGTTTGGTGCTTCCTTAAATGGTTAAACGTAGAATAACCATGTGACCCAGGAATTCCATTCCTAGGTATAATACCCAAAGGAGATGAAGACATGAAAAAATGAAACACATGAAAACTTGTAGAGGAATAGTCATAGCAGCATTATTCATCGTAGCCAAAGTGTGGAGACAACCCAAATGTCCATCAGCTGCTGGAAGGATGAGTAAATGTGGTGTATCTATACAGTGGAATAATATTTAGCTCTAACATGAAATGAAGTACTTATCCATGCTACAACATGGATGAATCTGGAAAACACTATGCTAAGTCAAAGAAGCCAGTAGCAGAGGACCATCTATTATATGCTTCCATTTCTATGAATGTCTAGAATAGACAACTCCATAGAGATAGAGAGTAATTAGAGCTGAAGGAGCTTTGCCACACAGCTGGTAAGTGGTAGATACAGATTTCCAGCTCCCAGCAAAGTCTGAGTGCCACTCCTGTGTCAAATCCTGGATAGGTGCTTCTAGGGCATATGAAGCATAAACATGATCCAGTTTCCTGAAGGAACTCCTGGGCTATTGGAAAAAGGGACAAGTTCATACTTACTTGTGACATGAGGGGATAAATGCCACATTGTTCATTGCTCACACGCAGTACAGACTTCAGTCGTCAACATCTAGGTCCCTGGGTGGTACAGGTAGTTTGCACTTGACTACTAACCTAAAGGTTGGTGGTTCGAACCCGCTTGGCAGCGCTATAGAATAAAGGTTTGGCAATCTGCTTCCGTAAAGATTACAGCCAAGAAAACTCTGTGGAGCTCAGTTCTACTCTGTAACACACGGGGTCACTATGAGTCAGAATCAACTTGACGGCAATGGGTTTGGGTTTTTTTGTTTGTTTGTTTAGGGTTACCTAAGTTGGTAATAGGAATGTTGGCAAGGAATGAGGAAAAGCCAAGTCTGCTGGAGGGGATGTTGGAATTGGGTGGGGCTGTATAGTTGTTAAAATTTTCTTTGGACGGTCTGATATTCTGATACATCCCTCAAGGGAGAATGCCATGCCACCAGGCCTACTGCCGTTGAGAATCACTGTGTTCTCACTTTTTTTTAAATTGTACTTTAAGTGAAAGTTTGCAGTTCAAGTTAGTCTCTCATATAAAAATTTATATACACATTGTTATGTGACCCTAGTTGCTCTCCCTATACTTTGACAGCACACTCCTCCTTTCCACCCCTGATTTCCCATGTCCATTCAACCAGCTCCTGTCCCTCTCTGCCTTCTCATCTCTCCTTCAGACAGGAGCTGCCCATTTAGTCTCATGTATCTACTTGAAGCACACTCTTCTCAATATCATTTTCTATCCCATAGTCCAGTCCAATCTTTGTCTGAAGAGTTGGCTTTGGGAATGGTTTCAGTTCTGGGATAACAGAGAGTCCAGGGGCCATGTCTTCTGGGGTCTCTCCAGTCTCAGTCAGACCATTAAGTCTGGTCTTTTTACTAGAATTTGAGTTCTGCACCTCACTTTTCTCCTGCTCCATCATGCTGTGTTCCCTGTCAGGGCAGTCATTGGTGGTAGCCGGGCACCATCTAGTTCTTCTGGTCTCAGGCTGATGAAGTCTCTGGTTTATGTGGCCTTTTCTGTCTCTTGGGTTAATACTTTCCTTGAGACTTTGGTGTTCTTCATTCTCCTTTATTCCAGGTGGGTTGGGACCAATTGATGCATCTTAGATTGCCGCTCGCTAGCTTTTAAGGCCCCAGATGCCACTCACCAAAGTGAGATGCAGAACATTTTCTTAATAAACTTTTTTATGCCAGTTGACCTAGATGTCCCCTGAAAGCGTGGTCCCCAGACCCCGCCCCTGCTACTCTGTCCCTTGAAGTGTTTTGTTGTATTCAGGAAACTTCTTAGCTTTGGTTTAGTCCAGTTGTGCTGACTTCCCCTGTAGTGTGTGTTGTCCTTCCCTTCACCTAATTCTTATGTTCTCACTTCTTTTGGTGGATGAATGGGCTTCCATCTGAAGGGGAAAATAATTGGAACCCTAACATTGAGCCCTGGTGGTGCAGAGGTTAAGAGCCATAGCTGCTAACCAAAAGGTCGGCAGTTCGCATCCACCAGCCATTCCTTGGAAACCCTATGGGGCAGTTCTACTCTTTCCTATAGGGTCACTATGGGTCAGAATTGACTCGAAGGCAGTGGGTTTTTAACACTGGGCTATCTTAAAATTACTTTTATTATAGCCTTAAATTTACACAAACATAATACAAGGTATAAATACATTTAGGCTTGTATCTCGTAAAAACCATGAACACCAGAATGAATTTGCAGCTAAATATTAACTATCGTTACAGACCAATAAACTTTAAGTTGACAACATTAGTATGATGGATGATGTTTAGTTTCAGCCAAATCACTTTTTACGATTAGACTCTGAGTTTGGCATCCCTGTGTTCCAGTGGGCTAACAGTAAGTCACTGATCCCGCCAGCCACTTCTTTGTCGTAATCAGTAAAAATTCTCATTTGTCCAGCTTTCATTGGACCCAGATACTTCTATTCTTTTTTAATCTGTCAGTGACAATTAAAGTGTTCCTACCTGGCAAAACGGAGTGCCTGGGTGCCGTAAACAGTTAACACGCTCACTGTTAAACGAGCAATTAGAGATTCCAGTCCACCCAGAGGCACCTTGGAAGAAAGGCCTGAGGATCTAGTTCCGAAAAATCAGCCATTGAAAACCCAGCGGAGCACAGTGCTACTCTGACAATACAGGGGGTCACCATGAGTCAGAGTTGACTTGACGGCAACTGGTTTTTTTGGAGATAGTTCAGAAATACCTATTTCATTCCCTAATTATACTTTACATTTGCACACCTGTTTTTCACTTCCAGTGTATTTTCATGTATTTACTCTCATGTAGGACTCTCTGTTGCCCTGAGAATAGGCTAGGCAGGTGGCATTGCCCCATTTTATAAATGAGATAGTTGTAGCTAGAGAGGTCAATGACTTGTCCAAGATACAGAAGACGCTTTAGAGTTTATATTTCAACCTCAATCATCGGAATCCAGTTCCATTGACGGTTCATTGTAATTTTCTTAGAAAAAACCTTTAAAAGGGGCACAATCTAGTGGTGGAGAAAGACCAGCTGTGTAGTAAATACAGATACATTTCTTGTGGTTTGTTTTCAGGTGGGTATTTAGGAGCTTTGTCCTAATGTTGTGACCCTACAGATGAGAACACCATATGAAGAATACCCTTTGGTACATTGTAAACTAAGCCCCTTGAAAGGAATCTAGGAGAAACCCCTTTCTGGGAAGATTCCATTGTACACAATTCATAGGCACTCAGAGATGGAAGAGACAATACAAGTCATCTGGTTTATGAGGTGATTGATGGTTAAAACATTTGCCATTTCAACCATTTTCATGTGTATCATATTTTAACGCAAATAACACACATATTCTACGTTTGTTTGCCGGCTGCACTGCCTCCTCCTCCGCCGCCACGAGGCACCCTCGCAAGCGCTGACATGCCAATTCTCTCTACATGTTGCTGTAAGAAAAAATTAGCGTAGTACGCTTATGAAAATACCTCACGGGGGGAAGGCGTGGCTGGCAAACAAACGCAGAAGGCTCGCGTTATTCGTGTAAAAATACGGCCCCACCTCAGTAATGTTACCTACCTTCACCATGTTGCGCAACCATCACCATCTCAACAATATCTTTAATTTGGCAGTTTGATCCATGAATTTGTAAATTGGGAAATTCAAACCCAATTATAAATAATCATCACCTCGTAAGAGTCATTAACTCCTGTTTTGGAATTGGATTGCTGTGAGTCAGTACTTGACAACAACTGGTTTTATACTCTTCAGACATTTGAGTTTGACTTTTCTTTATCATGCAGATAGAAAAGAGCTCGTCAGTTATGAGAAACTTTGTAGAAATTGAGGAGCCAACTTCGGGATTTCTTAGTTTTATCTGCCGGAACTACTGCCTTCAGTTTCCTTTGGGACGCGTGGGAGTAGTTGGGAGGGAGAAGGGAGAGTTAGGGGGCTTCATAATGCTATCAGTTCTTCTCCTGCTTTGGAAATCAGACTCACATCTCATGCACTGCTGAAGATCAGGCGCACAGGCAGTGAGCAGGCAGGGTTTGTCTTTGGTATTCTCCCTCCTCTCTCTGCTTTTCCATCCAGTTCTTTCCCCAGGTAACCAGTGAATACCTTTTTTCTACTCCCATCTCCTCATGGCATCATCCAAGCAAGGCCCATGTTTTTGGAAAGCTCTCAATGTTCCAAATTGTCTTCGCCGTCCCCAGTCAGCAAGAAGTCACCTGACCTTCCCAAGTTCGACATTATCTTTCCCAGGTGCCATTTGCCTTTTAAGAGTGTTCCTAGATAACTCATTGCTTTACTCTTTGATTCTGTTTGGCTAGCTCAGGGCGAACTTTCAGGCAAACTTTGAGGAAGGGGGCCACAGGATATAAATGGAATTGGGAAGTCACCTAGGATTCAAGAAAGAAGAAGAAAGAAACCAATTCAAGAAAGAAGAGGAAAGAAACCCTTCATCATTCGTGCAAAAGAATGTTTTTTCTTTTCCCAATCTGTGGTGGAGAAGATGTGTTAGCGGACAGGAATCTGACTTGCTGCCGTGAATAAACTCCATACTCTTAGGATGAAGTCATACATAATTAATCGCCTGTCTCTGCATTCTTTCCAAAGTGGTGGCGCCTAGCATTCACACTTGTGATAAGTTATGTTTTGTGAGTCGAGAGCCCCAGGACGGCCAATTAAGGAAGAAGAGGCAGTGGTGGTTGTGTTACGTAACCTTTGTACTGCTATAATGCAGTGGCTAACGGTCTGTCTACTTTCTTCTTCTAGTGCCTGAAACGGTACGTGCAGCTGGCAATCCGAGAAGGATGCGGGTCTCCCATCAGTTGCCCCGACGTGGTGTGCCTAAACCATGGGACCCTGCAGGAAGCTGAGGTATGGGCGGTTGCCACTGTCTTGTCTTTCTTGTTGACACTCTTCACTAGGATCTTGACCTTTACATACCTGCCTGCCAGGGAGTCTAGAAACCAAATACAGAAGATAATTGTTTTAAAGGAGTACTTTATATAGACTGTTAACACTATAATTTACCTCAGTTCTATTTATAGGTGCTACTGAATGTTGAACAAGCTCTAGAATAGGCGATGCCCCTAGAAATTACATTTTCCCAAAGTGAGGCTTGGAGGCCAAGTGGTGACTGGTCTTGTGATCTTTAATACTTTAAAGATAAACAGACCCCGGATTAGCCACAGTTACAGACTGTAAACGGTCATGGTTCTGCACACGTGGCCTGGGTTGAACCAAAGAGCAGAGACAAGTGTTTCGGTCTCTCAGGCTCCCAGTCTGTTTCTTCTCTGAATGGATTCTCCTCCCATTTTCTTAGACTGTGATTGATGTCTTTCCTTTGTTCAGTCCCCAGTCATGAGCTCACCCTTCCATCTGCCTCTCACCTTCAGACCCTGCTCACTTTAACTCCAAAGATCAAGAGCCTTATCTATTCTTGTGGAGTTTGTAAGCCTCTCAAAGTGGTCCCAAGAAACAGGTGAAATAAGTCATTCATTGCGCAGACACTGAGAAAACGCCTGCTGTGTGCCAGGCCCTCTTCCAGCTGCTTCCATCACCAATGTGCCAACCAGTCCTCTCAACAAACTCATGAGATCGCTGTTTTTTAAACAAAAACTATTTTCAACGACAACAAAATAGTTACTTCCAGATAGGGAAACTGAGGCTCAGAGGAGCTAGAAAGTAGAAGAGCTAGATTCTAATCCCGTTATTAATGACCACCATAATAACATGGCTTCAAGAATAGAACTAGATAGAAAGAATTAATGAAAAAGGGCTTGATAGTTGGAAGTTCAAGAATGTGTGTATATGTATGTATGTGGATAGATATAGGTATATATGTATATATATGTGTGTTTGTGTATGTATATGTATACGTATGTACGTGTGTGTGTGTGTGTGTGTGTGTGTGTGTGTGTGTGTGTGTATAGGTAGAGAGACAGAGAGAGACCATGGGAGGCTAAAACTGTAAGTGTTCAGCTATTAACTGAAAGGTTAGCAGCTTGAATTCACCCAGAGGCACCTCAGAAGAAAGGTCTAGTGATCTACTTCTGCAAGATCCCAGCATTGAAAACTCTGTGGACCACAGTTCTACTCTGAAACGCATGGGGTCGCCATGAGTTGGGACTGACTCAAAGGCAACTGGTTTGGTTTTGTGTATATGTATATATGTCTGTGCTTTTCTTTGTAAGAAAAAGCAGTAAGGAAGATCTGTATCTGACTGTCCTGTGTTCAGCTTATGAAATATAATCTGAGTGGTACAAGTGAGTTTGAAGGTTTTTTTTAAGGGAAGAGTAAAAAGAATACGTAATGGTTTAGAGGTAATTCATTAGAAAAAGTCATTAAATAATTTAGATAAAATTTTTTTTATAAAAAGGTAGTATTGAATATGTAAATGCTATGGAACGAACTTGTGTGAGTAATGGACAGAAGGAAATTAAAGTGAGGAAGAGTTAGCTACCAAGAGCGCTGTTGATCTATGCAGCTTTAAAGTGGTTTTCAAAAGGAGATTCAGATATTTAGGAGCATTTTTCTGTGCATAATCCTTCCAGGAAAGATGCTTCTTTTTTTTTTTTTAACTTGCTTATCTGGTGTCTGATTGGTCAACAAGTATTTATTAAGCGTGCACAGTGTGCTGGCCTTGTTCTAGGTTAGGATAAAACCAAACCAAACCCATTGCTCTAACTCATAGCAACCCTCTAGGACAGAGTAGAAATTCCCTATAGGGTTTCCAAGGCTGTAAATCTTTATGGAAGCAGACTGTCACATCTTTCTCCCACAGAGCGGCTGGTGGATTCAAACTGCTGACCTTTTGGTTAGCAGTTGAGCACTTAACACTGTGCCACCAGGCTCCTTCTAGGCTAGAATAGAGGGATGAATAAGACATACCCAGTGCCTGTCCTCATACAGCTTCTGCTCCAGCAGAGAGATATTAAGCAGAGAATGAGTCAGGGAAATAAAAGCAAAAAGCACGAGATGGGCAGGTAGCAAGAGCTGTGTCTGATATGAAATCTTATTTAATTCATGTGTGCAAAATCTATTAAACAGAAATGAATGGTTTGGTGAAGTTTCAAAAGAAGCCGATAGTCTAGACCTGTGTTGTCAATCCAGCAGCTGCCAGCCACATGTGACTGTTTAAATTAAAATTAAATAAAATTAAAAACTCAGTTCTTGTGTTGCACTGGGAGCCCTGGTGGCACAGTGGTTAAGAGCTTGGCTGCTAACCAAAGGTCGACAGTTTGAATCCACCAGCCGCTCCTTGGAAACCCTCTGGGGCAGTTCTTCTCAGTCCTATAGAGTCGCTATGAGTCGGCATCGACTTGACAGCAGAGAGTCTGGTTTTTTGGGGTTTGTATCACACTAGGCCATATTTTAAATACTCAGTAGCCATCTGTGGCTGGTGGTTGCCAGAGTGTACAACAGAGACCGAGTATTTTCATCATCCCAGTTCCAGATGCGAAACAAACGGTAACGATGGGCTTGTGGTTTAAGTATCACATGGTGGCGTTAACGTGTGCAGGCGAGCTGGCAAAGAGTCTCGCACCTCTCTAGGGCAGAGTTTAACTTTTCTGAGTTTCTTTGTATACACATTTATTTACTTGATTTTCCCCTAGTTTTCCTCTCCTCTTTTCTCATCCGTTTCCCACCGTACACATTCTCATTCACGCTTCCTTCTCTGGTCCTGGTTCTGTTTACCAAGTTATGCTCTAGAACAATTTTACTTTTAGGCTGTAATAAAACAAACCAACCCACATGGCTCTTTAAAAAACTACAAAAGTATATTTGAAAAAGAGCAGAGACTAAACTATGGTATTTCTTAAATTCCCCAAAGTCTGTTTTCCGTTAGATGAGTAAGACGACACTGCAGGCCTCAGTGGGCCATTTCTGTACTCATTGGGCTGACTGAAGATGGGCATTAATGGACAGTAATCAGATGCTTTTAACCAACCTGCTACTATTATTTTCCCAGAGTTTTTTTAAAAAAAAGTGGTAGTGATGGTGGTGATTGTCTCTCATTTTGGATTAAGACATCAATAGAAGATTGTATTGGAGGTATTGGTAGCCTCATCAGTTTCTATGGGGTTCCTCCTTTCAAAGCAGATAACACACATGTTGTCTGGGGCTATACCACAGTCCTCATTGTCTTGCCTTAAATCCAGCTCTACTCATATACGGCTGTTGTAATATGTAGCTTTTAATCCAGGGATTATTGAGTGTATTATTGTTGTTATTGGGTGCTGTCGAGCTGGCCTCTGACTTATGGACATCCAGCCTTCCCGCGGACGTCCAGCCTTCCCGCGGACGTCCAGCCTTCCCGCGGACGTCCGGCCTTCCCGTGGACGTCTAGCCTTCCCGTGTATGTCTAGCTTACGTAGTCAGCTGTGTTCCATGTGTCTTCCCCCTGCTGGTTTTGGATGGTGCCTGCCCCTGCCTTCTTGATTCCTCCGAATTGGCTCAGTGGTGGCTCTGCCCCTTAACTGTTATTTATCGGGAATAGCCGCGTCAAGGAAGCATTTAATGCCCACTCTAAATACTGTTTGCTCATGTAGGAAATGTAGAAAACGGAGCCTCCCCTCCAGTGTCTTGCAGGCTGGCGGGAGACAGTGACTCTGGAGATGAAGTGACTCCGGAGGTGAAGCCAGCGGGAGCCAGGGAAAAGTCAGACTTCCCTTCCTTGCGTCATCTAGTTCTTTTAGCTGTTGCTCGGTAGGGCTTTTCCAGTGTACTTGATTCAGGAATCTTGTCCAACATGCAATTATGAAACGCAGGACAGATGGGTTGTTCTGATAGCGATACTTCAAGCAAGGCTCTTGCCTGAAGTTACTTGCCCTGTCAAAAACGTTGACGACTAATTTTATGTGGGTCACTTACAGTGGTTATGGAAGTTGCCTGCCATCACTTGCTGGGGAGAGCCGGAACCATTCGTCCAAGCTGTGTCAGATTTGAGTAGTGAGCACCTGGCTCGTATGAATAGGACTTACTGTTGCAGGGTCCAAGAAGCTGAGCTTCTTTCTGCTGCCGTGGCGGGCAGGGAACAACTTCTCACCCATCAGTCATCCTTCCAAGTTGGGCGCTGAAATGGTTGTGCTCTTAGTGCCGCAGTACACACCCGAGGAGGGCGGGGTGCAGCTACTCTAGCCAAAGACTGGCTGCTCCAGAATTACTGTAGGAGGGGGTTTAGGGTATGGGCAGTCTGGGCGACTCCTGGGGAGGCGAGAACGAAGGAATTTGAAGCTACGTTTGCAAAATAAGCACAGTTTTTACTCAGAGTGCGTTTTATTTAGGATGGCTTTGGAAAGGCTAAGGTCCCTGGGTTGCACAAAAGGTTTGCACTCAAATACTAACCAAATGGTTGGCGGTTTGAACCTGCCCAGCGGCATCACGGAAGAAAGGCCTGGCCATCTGCTTCCATTTAGATTACAGCCAAGAAAACCCGACGGAGCACAGTCCTACTCTGTAACACAGGGGGCCGCCATGAGCCAGAATCGACTCAACGGCAACAGGTTTGTGTTCGGAATTTTTGGAAAGGATGCTGGAGTTCTGGGGACCAGTGTTCCCCCCCGGTCTCCCCTTCTGCCCTGCGTGCACCTGTGATCTCCTCCTTTGATGCTAGCTCTTTCCGTCGTCGTCTGGAGCTGGGGCAGAGGAGAGATGAGGATCCATGGGCAAGTGGCCATATTCCTGCTACTGTGGTTTCAGGATCCGAACAGGAAGGGACTGAACGTGGACATGATAACCTTTGGCTGGGCGGTGTGTTGGCTGGAAAACAGTAAAACTTTGGGATGACAGAGAAAATAAAGGAATCTGCTAAGCCAGAGTTGATAGTTATTTTTGAGGTTCCCCGAAAAATTTTGTTTTAAAACTTCTGTAAA